CCCCTGCGGGGTTGTCTGCGTAGCTGGAGATGCCGGGTCCTGCCAGAGGGCACCAGTGATGGCAGAGCCCAGAGCACCCCGAGGGACAGCACAGCAGGGCTCGTGTCCTCCCATTCTCCAGGCCCAGGGATCTCTATTGGACTTCCTCAGCAATACTCAGATGTCCCAGTCACACCCAAAATCCTGCTGTGGTTGGTGCTGTACAGATACCAAAATACTGACTGACCCAAGGAGGAGTCAGGAACCACGTACGACAAACAAGCCAAGCCACTGGATTGCTCAGGGACTTATGCAGAGTTTTTGGGAGGCCTTGTGGGCACATGGAGGTGTACATTATGAAAGAAGGTGTGAATAGATGTTGTGGGAAGAAGGATGAAGGAAGCAGAGGCTCAGGAAAAGGAGCAAGCTGCACATCTAGCATCCCAAGCTGTGAGGTGATGCACAACTGGACAGGACTGGCTGCAGGACCTGTGCTAACTGGGGGCCAAATTCCTCACCCACCTCTGCATACCCCAATTACTGCAGGGCTCCCTCAGGTGCACACCAGCCCCTAACACTTCCCTGTGGTTCTTTACCAGGTCATCTCCCTTCAGCCCAGAGCAGGCTGAAAGACTTGGATCAGCAAGGATGCTGTGAGAGTCTGTGACAGTGATCCAGGAGACAGGGACAGGCACATCCCAGCACACTCACCGGACACGGTGCAAACATCCACCTGGGACACGATGCCGGTGCCGTTCTCCTTGTCCGCGGGCCAGCGGTAGGTGTAGAGGGACGTGTGTGTGGAGCCGGCGTCAAACACCAGCCCGTACTGGGGGAGACAGAGGGGACCTGGGGTCACATCCCTCCTGGGGCTGCACCAAGTGTCACGGGGGTTTCTGAGAGCTGAACGTGAGCAGCAGAGGTTTGCACGTCCAGCCTCCCCACAGCAGCCCTGCTCCACCTCTAACACCCCCGGTTTCGCCATTCCAGCGAGTTACGGCTCAGGAAGGAAGGACACGAAGGTCAGCGGGGGGATTTGCAGGGCAGGGAGGCATCCAGGCATGTCCCAAAGGGCTCAGGCTGCTCCCAGACCTTCAGCAAATCTCAGAAAACCTGACATTTTTTAGCAGACTGGCAACAGAAAGCAGCAGGGGAGAGAGGTGTAAACCCAACAGGTGAACTGAATGTCTGAAAGCAGGGAAAAGAGTGCGGTCACAGGGAGAGGGCTGTGCTTCTCTTTCCCATCCTTAGCAAGGAGCCAGAACCACAGTTTGGGGGTGATTGGTCAGCCCAGTGCCCACCTTGATGAGGTTAAGCCCTGAAAAGCTGGGCTGGTTAAAGGAAAACTTGCAAGTGGAGACGAAGGCAGAGCTGATGGCAGAACGAGAGGTGGAAAAGGGGCTGGTAGTCACTCCCAGGCTCCCCCAGGTCCCACTGGGCACCTACTTTGTTCCTCATAGGAAGGGCAGCATCCTTTACCGGGGTCAGGATCAGGAGGAAGACGGCCACCCCCAGCACTCCCAGCAGGGCCGCCAAGCTCCAGCCCACCGCCCTGAGCAGGCGCGGCAGCATCGATGGTCTGTGGGGAAGGAGGGTCTTTGGGAGGGTCTTTGGGAAAATCCGGGGGGAGGGATGGCCTTTGGGAGGGTCTGCGGGGAGGGGTGATCTTTAGGAGGGTCACTGGGGAGGGATGATCTTTGGGAGAGTCTGTGGGAAGCGATGGATTTGGGAGGGGTGGTTGGGGAGAGCTGGATTTGTGAGAGATCATTTGGGGGGATGGTCTTCTTGGGGACGGTTTGAGAGGAGGCGGAGTCGTTAGGAGGAGGGTCTACAGGGAGGGACTGTGGGCAGGGATGGCTTTTGGGAGGAGGGTCTGCGGGAGGGGAGGGTCTTGGGGAGGGTCTGTGGGGAGGGAGGGTCTTTAGGAGTAGGGTCTGTGGGGAGGGAGGGTCTTTGGGAGGGTCTGCGGGGAGGGAGGGTCTTTAGGCGGAGAGTTTGCAGGGTGGAATGGTCTTTGGGAGGAGGGTGTGTGGGCCGGGATGGTCTCTGGGAGGGTCTGCGGGAGGGAGGATCTTTGAGAGGGTCTGTGGGAATGGCTGGTGTTTGGTCTCTGGGAGGATCTGCGGGAGGGGTAATCTTTGGGAGGGTGTGAGGAGAGGGAGGGACTGTGCCAAGGCAGTCCAAACCCGCTTGCCCCGGCCCCGAACCTCGAGTCCCTCCTGGGGTCCCCTTCTCCCAGCAGCTCGGGATTCCCCACCCCTTAAGTGACCTGAGTGACCCCCTGGGACACGAAGCGGACGGGTGGGGAGACCGTGAACTTGTCTGGCCCCGACCCGCCGGGCAGGGACAGGGGCAGGAGCAGGGGCAGGGGCAGGGGCAGGGACAGGGACAGGGACAGGGGCAGGGGCAGGGACAGAGGCAGGGGCGAAGCTCCGTCCTGCCGCGGTCCCGGCCACCCCCCGTACCTGTTACGGGAGCCCCTGGGTCCGCGAGCGTGGAGGGCGATGGGGGCACAGCCCGGTCCCCGCCGGCCCCCGGGCCCTGCGGGGAAGCGAAAGTGGAGCTGAGCCGCTCTCGGATGTCCGGGTCCGGCCCCGGCCGGGGCGGGCTCTGGGCGCTGCCGCGGGCGGAGAAAGCGGCGAGCTCGAGGCTGCGGCTGTCTGCACCGGACACCCGGCTTGCCTGCACCTCTGCCTGCACCCTGCCTGCACCCTGCCTGCACCTCTGCCTGCACCCTGCTTGTACCTCTGCCTGCACCCTGCTTGTACCTCTGCCTGCACCCTGCTTGTACTTTTGCCTTCACCCTTGCCTGTACCTCTGCCTGCACCCTGCCTGTACCTCTTCCTGTTCCTTGCCTGCTCCCTGCTTGCACCATGCTCCCGTACCTCTGCCTACACCCTGCCTGTACCCTGCCTGCCCTCTGCCTGCACTGCCCCAGGCCGTGGGGACAGTTCGGCCCCTGCCTATGGGGAGGGATTCCATGTGGATGGCTGTGGGGACAGGTCTTCACTTGACAGGTCCCTACTATTTTCGTCCCGGGCACCGCTGCCAGCCTGGCTCTGCCTACAGCGGGGTAGTGGAAGTCCAGCAGGGCCAGGTGACAGCAGGGTGACAGCAGGGTGACAGGACAGGCTCTGCCCCTCGCGGTGTGTGCGGCAGGGCTGGGCAGGGATGTCTGTGGGGCTCCCGGAGGTCGGACTCTGCCCCGTCACGGGGCCAGGGGACAGGCTCCCAGGGGCTCCCTGGGGATCTTCTCTCTCCCGGGCAGCGCAGCCCCGCCCGGGCTGAGCACTCCGGGCCGTCCCGCTCCTCCGGCAGCGAAGTGGTTAACCCCGGATGCCGCTTCCACCCCGGCTCTCCAGCCCCAGCCCCGCTGCCTCCCGGACAAGCACTCTCCTGGGCAGGTTGCTGGTCCGGGGCCAAGGGGAGGGCCGCGCCGGCGGGGCAGCCTTTGTCCCAGGAGCGGGCTCCCGGCTCCAGGTACGCGCTGACTCCGGGACGAGCGCGGCGGGGCCGGAGCGGCGGCCGGAGCCGGCGGGGTGAGCCGGGGCAGGCGCCGGGGGCAGCGGGGGCCGGGGCCGGTGCCCCGCGATGGAACTGGGCTGGGAGCGGGCCCTGGGCAGCAGCGGGGCCAGTGCTGAGGGGAAACATGCTCCGAGGGCTAGAGGGGCAGGAGGAGAGGGCTGGGGAGGCCACTCATAGTGCCCAGGTGCAGGGGACAGAGGGGCACAGAGAGGACATGGACGGGGCACAGAGGGCACTGCCGAGCCCCAGCGCTGGCGGGAGGCAGGGGACCACTCTGCCCGGCAAAGATGCTCCTGGCACCCACATCCACCCTCTTAGAACCTTCAGAGCCCTTTTGCCTTTCAAACCCCAAACGTGCCTGATGGGGAAGTCAGCTCTGAGCAGCAGGAGGTTTAGATCCAGCAGCGTCTCTGAGCCTTCCCTCCCAAATGCTGAGGCCCTGCTCCCTGTGCACGAGGGGCGCTGCAGACGAGGGATGTCCCGCCGGTGTTTGTCAAGCCCTCTGCTGTACATAAACAAATGCAGCCCTGGCCCAGGTGCTGGGCACAGCTGGGAGCTTTCCACACGTGGAAGTAGGCAGGCACTGCACAGCATCGTGCCTCATCTGCAGCTCTGGAGGCACCACCACCACCTTCCCACCCCTGCTGCTCACTGCACCTGCAGGGGTGGGAGCAGGTGTTGGAGCTGGCCAGCCCCGGGGTGCCACGGAAAGGCTGGGCAGATCAATCAGCTCCTCATACGCCTCTCGATGGGCTCCTTCCCCATGCCCTGCTCTCCTCCCTGGAAGTGCTGGCTCTGTGCTGCTTTTGGATGTAGCGTCCTGCCCAGTCAAAATGGGAATTAGTCCCTACCAGAGCAGGGGGAGTCCATTTCCCACCACTCCCATGTGCAAGATGATGTAGTTTATTCCCAATTCCATCGCACAGTGCCTGGGACAGAATTTTCCAGGATATGGGCTGGGCTGGGGACTTTTGCCATTGCTTTGTTTGTTACCTGGAGCTGATGAATCACATCCCAATAGCACAGTTATATCTGGGCACGCTCTAGCAGGGCTGATAGGACTGCAGATGTGTCAAGTGGGGACATGGTTTATTGGTGATCATGGTGGTGCTGGTCTAATGATTGGACTCTATCACTTTGAATCAATAACCACTCCGATGACTCAAAGATGTCTTATCCGACCTTAATGATCTCCTGTTTCTGTGATTGGGGTTCATCAGCTGCTTCCATATAAACTCTTCTGGCCATTGGTCCTGTAGAGGGAGGGGCTCCTGGCTGTAGGATAAGGGCTGACAAGGGATTTCAGTAGTCCCATGTCCCATGAGGCTGCTGTTCATCGTTGTGCATATGCCACACATGGGAGATTGTCCACCTTTGTTTATCACTGGAGATACTGACTCCAAAACAGGAATCAGCATCTCCTTTGACTTTGCCAAAGGTCTTTCCTTTCTGCTGACCTGGGAAAAAGACAGGGATATTTCTCAGGGGTTTTCTACGCTCACAGGAGAATTGTGTAGCCAAGCCACAGTGGTGGGGTTGTGCCCAGGGCTCTCAGGACATCCACTGTTCAGCCAGAGTGTGAAGAGAGGTAAGCCTGGCTCCCTGCAGCCATCCTGCCTGTGCAGCTCGTGGCATGGGACAGGGCAGGAGGGAGAGCTGTGCATTCAGAGAAGCTCATCTGGACCAGCTGTGGGTGCTGAGCATGTGGACGTGTCATTGTCCCTGTGCTGAGCCTGTCACAGAGAACCACTTTGGCCTTGCTTCTCTGCTGCAGCGTCTTGGGGCTGGTTCTGCTGGAGCTGAGCTCTGGCCAGACAAGCAGGAGGTGCAGGCCCTCCTCCCGTCCCCAGGGGCCATTGCTGTGGCCATGCCAGCCTGGCTACGGGCTGAGTGCCCAGACTGGCAGGAGCTTCCTGCCTCTGCCCTGCTGCCTGCCCTTGGGGCTGCAGGAGAGGCTTGGGGATCACCTCAGCATGCACACTGTCCCTGTGTGCCTCTTACCTCTTACAGCAAGAGTGGAGAAGAGCTGGACCAGGCAGGAGGAACATGATTAGAGATCCTGATCCCCTGCCTGGAGCAGAGAGGACCTCAGGGACAGTGTGGGCCTGCTGGACAGTGGATGTGACCTGATGGTCCAAGTGTGTTGGTGCTGGAGATGTGCAGCTATGGCCACACTGGGAACCTGGCAGGGCATGGTCCTCCTCCCAGCCTGGGACTCCAGCCAGACATGGCCATGCTTCCCATTAGTGCTCCTGCTGGGAAGGAAGATGCTGACCTGCCACCCAGCCGGCGGTTTGAGCAGGGCAGAGGGCTGGGGTCCAGGCACAGAGGGCCTGCAAGTGAGAAGGCAGGGCTGAAAAAATTGTGCTGAAAATCCTCTGAGGAAGGAGTGCTCAGAAGGATGGGGAGTTCCAGCCCTGAGACTGCCAAGAGCCCTGTTGGAGCAGGTCTAGAGGAGACCACAGAGATGCTCTGAGGGCTGGAGCACCTCTGCTATGGAGACAGGCTGAGAGAGCTGGGGGTGTTCAGCTTGGAGAAAAGAAGGCTCCAGGGAGAGCTTATTGTGGCTTTTCAGTGCTTAAAGGGTGCTTACAAGAAATATAGGGACAAACTTTTCAGAGGAGCCTCTAGTGAGAGGACAAGGGGTGATGGTTTTGCAATGAGGGTGGGCAGGCCCTGGCACAGGTTGCCCAGAGAAGCTGTGGCTGCCCCATCCCTGGAAGTGTCCGAGGCCAGGTTGGAGCAACCTGGGCTGGTGGAAGGTGTCCCTGCCCATGGCAGGGGGTTTGGACTAGATAGGTTTTAAAGGTCCCTTCTGACACATGTATTTTATGATTCCATGATAAGAGCAGCTGCGCCTCACAGAATGACTTCATTGTTGGGGAAGGGGAAAGGCCCATTTTGAAAAGTCCCATGTCCATTCATGAGGTTTGCATTTCAAAATTGTCGTCGTAAATGCTGAGGTGTGAGCTCGGGGCTGGGGCTGTCCTTGCAGGTTGGAGGAGGAATGGACTCCAAAGCCAAGGCTGTTGCAGGTCTCCTGGCAGCCGCCTGTGTCTGCAGCATCATTGCCCTCATTCTGAGCGTCGTGAACGTGAAGGATGTGTTTCTGCCCCCCAGCACCAAGGTAGGTCCTTGGGAGGAGCACAGCCACCCACCCTCCCTTGGGTGCTGGCTCCCATTGGGTATCAGACTGTGCCCAGGTTTCAGGCAGGCTGTGCTGTTTGTCAGCAAAGCCCCACACAGGCTGGGTGGGTCTGGCGAGTTTGGTTGCTGTGAGTGCACACAGCCTTTTCATCACAAAGCACTGCCTGCTCCAAAGGCTTGGGATGGATCCTTGTCCCCAGCACAGCTGGTGACTGCAATGCCACCAGAATTTCTCTGTCCTGGTGACAGTCTTGGCTTGGCCACTCGAGGTCCCTCGGCTCACCAGCAGCTCTGCTGGCTCTCCTGGAGCTTTGCTCTCTCTGCAGGGGTGATGCTGGTGGGTGATGCTGGTCTGCACCCCCTGACACCCTGTCCCCTCTGTCTCCCCCAGTACGGGCTGGTGTTTGACGCCGGCTCCACACACACGTCCCTCTACACCTACCGCTGGCCTGCGGACAAGGAGAACGGCACCGGCATCGTGTCCCAGGTGGATGTTTGCACCGTGTCCGGTGAGTGTGCTGGGATGTGCCTGTCCCTGTCCCTGCCCAGCTCACCTGGGGGATGCTGTAGCTGCCCAGCCCCCGTGCTTGCCAGGGTGGCTGTTCCACATGCCAAAGCTGGTTCACATCAGGCGTGGTAAATGGTATATTTATTTATTGGGCATTTTTAAACACCCACAGGGGTGTTTATTCCTATTGCAAAGGTGCTGTCAGGCTTTGGCACAAGGACAAGTTTCTCTGGAGGGAAGGACCAGGATAGAGCAGGGATGTGGGGTCAGATAAATGGTACATGAAGCTGGACTGGGGCTGGCAAAGGCCCCCAGGCCAGGGCAGAGGTGTCTGGGCAGGGGGTGAGAGGGTTCAGGGCTCACCCCAACCACCTGTCCTGCTCGGTGGTGGTGGCAGTTACTGGTTAACTGCAAAGGTCTGGCCGAGGGCAAAGTGTAACAGAGGGGGTGCATGGGCTAACGGCAGGGGTTGTGTGCAAAGCGCCCAGGAAGGTAAATAGTGATATTTGTGCCCTGGAGCCTGTCCCTGCCAACGGCAGGACCGTGCTGAGTGCTCAGATCCAGTGCCAGCCTCTGAAAGCAGGAGCTCAGGCAGGCTGTGCAGAGGGCACCTCTGTGTTCATATCAGCTCCACATGCCATTGCAGCAGGAGGCAGGAGGGCCTGCCCTTTCCTCGGGGACATGGGGAACGGCTGTTTGTCACCCAGTCCTGCAGGACTGGCTAGCCATGTCCGAAAGTTCAGCCTACCTGGGCTTAAGCATGTGATCCGCACCCAGAGCTGGAGCTCTGCTCCCGTGGGATGAAGGGCTGTGACACTGGTGCTGCCTCCTGGCAGGCCAGCTCGGAGCACCCGCTTAAGGGACACCCCTGGCAAGGGTGGGACTAGCCCGACTACGCAGCCAAAAACCCCTGGGAGCTTTCTGGGTGGACACGAGCCCTGCTGTGCTGTCCCTCGGGGTGCTCTGGGCTCTGCCATCACTGGTGCCCTCTGGCAGGACCCGGCATCTCCAGCTACGCAGACGACCCCGCAGGGGCTGGCGCCAGCCTGAGGCCCTGCCTGGACAAGGCCATGAGGATCGTGCCGGCAGAGCAGCAGCGGGACACCCCCACCTACC